GAAAATAAAGTCAACCCTAAAGATTCAAGAGATTAATTACTGGCTTATTTCTTTTTTACTCTCTAACTTTTATTTTTGAAAACCTACGCATGGATTCGGTTTTGGTGATAAAATGAGATGAACAAGATGCAGTCACTGTTGCAATCATGGTTAGTGGAAGTAAGACATTAGCAAATTATCATATTACAGCTTGATAAAGTAATTATGTCTGTACACAATTCCTGTAAAGTCCCACGTAGGAAGCAGTCATAAGAATGTATTGCCTATAGGAGATGTTAATGATGCGATCTCAGATAACTGAAAATTTATGATCAGTGTAACCAAATTAGACACCTGTCAACATGACACAGGCTTTCCTATCACGACTGTAAATCTTAATAGCTGATTGATCATGGTTTTGGAATGAGCCCTACTGCCTGTGGATACTTGCACGAGTCATTAGTGGCTGATGACACTGCACTCCTGAGCCAAACTGGTCTGTAGTTGCTGTCTTCAAGGTTGCTTAGAACGTCTTGGGAAAAGGTTTTAATTTGATTTTTTAAAGCTTTTTTTTTTTTGAGATAATTACAGACTTTCGGGAAGTTGATGAAACAGTGCAGAGGTCCTGTACATGCTCACCTAACTTCTTTAGTGGTAACGTCTTACACAATCACAGTGTCATATTGAAGCTAGGAAGTTGACATTGGTACAGCCTACCCAGTAATCTGGTTTTGATGTTTTTGCTCCTAAAAAATTATTTTCAAACTGAATCATGACTTCAAGCACAAAATACCAGTGTTCAATGTGGAGTATTGCTGGGGATGATATTACCAGCCAGCCCCTCCCTCCTTTGTAAGTTTTTGCTAGACAGTGCATATACTTGTCAAAGAGACAGAGCCAGAGACAGAGAAAGTAGGCAGTCCTCCCACCCCTGGGATAGCTGTTGTAGTGGTTAGGATGGCTGGATGGTTCAAGTTCTGGACCCAACAGCTTGAAAAACATGCAAGATGTGTGTGTGTGTGCATGTCCAAAATCCTGAGGGGAGAAAAGAAGAGATAGCAACATGACCATGCCCTGTGTGGTGGAGGGAGTGCTCCTTTAATTTTACTTTTTAAATTTACTAGAGACTATATGTGTTCACCAGAGAGAGAGAAAGAAAGTGAGGAAACACCCCAGTAGGTGTCTTCAGACATCCTAGTGTTTGACCCTCCAGTCCCCTGTTGAAATACTCTCCAGGATCTTCACCCCTGCCCTATGCATCTCATTTTGTATGGACAGTGGTCGTTACAATATCTTTCCTAGTTTATATGAGATCAAATCTATTTTATGATAGCTTTGCCCATTAGTGAGCCCACACAGAATAAGACTGGTCCCCTTCCAAGATCCTGTCAGACCACCACTTGGCTGAGGTTCCCCATTTTATTCTACTGTTTCTTTTTTTTGAAAAATTTTTTTTTTTTTTTGGCTATAGGGCACACATACTTGCCAGAGAGACAGAAAGTGAGAAATCACCCCCTGGGGAGATGGCCACACCACAATCCCTTCTCCATTCTCTCAGGATCCTAGGAGCACATGCATACGTGCCTGGCATGAGTTTTAAGTCTCCTGGTCTGGGACTCGAACCGCGGTTGGCTATATGAGAGTCCAGCACCGTCACCATTATGCCATCTACTAGTCCCTCTACTTTTCTTACAAACATGATTTTAAGACTTCCCCACCCTCAATCCTTGCATCTCTCAGCTGAGCTTTTGGTCCTGTGGATGTGTATTTCTAAGTGTCCTTTGTAAGGACATTTGAGTCACTAGTTTCTGAAATTTCCTCTCTCAGTGAAATAGATTGTAGGACAAGTCTGAAACCTATTCCTTTTTAATCTTAGAAACTTGAAGAGGCAAATTCTGCTAGGGGAAATGATACCTTTTTTACCTTTGCTTTGTGGTGCCTGTAGGGGGAGCCCTTGATGGCAGATTTTTTTTTTTTTTTTTTTCACTAGCTTGGAATAAGATTCCAGCAGTTTTAAGCTATTCAGGTAATTCGAGTTTTGGCCCATATACCCTCGCTTTCAGG